CAGATCACCGTATGCCCTTCAACAATGGACAAAACCAATACCGGACAGGGAGCCCTAAAAGACCCCGAATTGACAAAATGTAAAACAATTTAAACGAAAAGAAAAAACTAGACAGTAACCAACGACAACCATTGAATAACAGACTCATGACTTTGGAAAAGCACAATAATAAGGTATGGTTAGCCCTATTAATAGGCAATTGTCATCTCAAATGTTTTTTTGAGACTTAATCTCCTCGGAATATTCCATTATTTCAGTGAAATAGCATGAAATTAAAAAAAAAGAGAGTATATACAAGTCAAAGAAGCATGTGCAGTTTCCTTACATAGGGGTCGTACCACCATTGATTTCCCTTGTTCGTCTTTGATATATTGGCATTTAAAAAACAAATGTGCAGCATTTACCATTGGTTCAAATAAAGGAATACTTGGCATGAATAAAGTTTGATCTCTTCCAGTACTACAGTAAATATTTCATACAAGGTATATGTTGTAAATGTAAACCGATAGTTCCCGAGTAAAGTGCACAGTTTTTAACTTTTTTTTTATTCGAGCGTCACTGATGAGTCTTTTGTAGACGAAACGCGCGTCTGGCGCAAATACAAAATTTCAATCCTGGTATCTATGATGAGTTTATTTACAACAGCATATAACAAAGTAAACTTCCTGGAAGTAAACAAGACAATTTCTCAGCTTTATTTTTTCGTGTTTACAAGCATTAATAACTAGATGAACGCATGTGATATTATAAAGCAACACACAAAATAAAAATAATGGTGCATCAAAACACCCTAGATGTATGTTAGGAACTCAAATTTTACTGCAATAAAATGCAGATTTTATTTTACGCAACTGTTAATTTCAAGGGGATTATATTTATTTGCCAAAGTATTTAATAGGAACCCGGATTTGATGTACTTTGTTTTGTTGGTATAACACCTTTTAATTTTCTCAAATTGGTGTCAGTTGATATCAATTAAAAGATATATTGTTCTGGAACAAAAAAGATTACCCTTGTCCAATTGTGCAAGATATCATGCTATTGTCTCTGTGGTTGAAACGGCCATACCTTAAGGAGCCTTATTTATTAAGCAATACAGTGTCAACATGCAATCCTATATAATTTCCTGGAATGTTGATATATAAATAAACAGAGAATGTGTTAAATGAGGGACATAATGTTAGTATTAAATAAAAAATGAAAACACTTTATAAATTTCATGCGATCTGATATAGTATGCATATTAGGACCGACCACATGCAAACTCAAAAGAAGTTAAACAAAATGAAGGTCACTGTTAAATGTTATACTAACTGTTGAGAAAATGAATCCCAGAAACCAATTGCATCTTTTATTAAAAGAAATATCACACATGATATCATATTGATTGATATGTTATGATTCAACAAAATATCTTTTTCAAATTTTTAAAAAATCCATATTTGTGTTTTGTTTGTATTTCCCGAAAGACTTCCTACAAATAAAGAAAAAAAAATAGATTCAATAATTTTCAGAGAAACAAAAGAGATGTGTTTCAAAATTTCGTCATTTAGGAGATATAATGGTAAGGGGGGATTTAAATGCCCACATTTATGAGTTTTCTAATCCTAATTAAACTATCATATTCGTAATGTTTATGTTATTATTGTCACAATAAAATATTGTTTACACTTACAGAATGAACAAGATTATACAGTCAAGGACTCGGATCCTGTTCTTTACAATTTTTAACCACTTTATTATGTTTCAGACAACATTGAAAATTTCGAAACACTGATTTACATCACAATAAAAATGAATATGGAAAGAATACTTTTGAATTATGCACTGATGCGCAACCAAGGATTTTAAACGGTTGAATCATTTGTGACTCAGGGGGGATTATAACATAGCATAACTATATTGGAGCTTTATGGTGGCCTGTTAAGACCATTTTGCATTTTCGGGATTTTGCCGTTTCGCCTTTTATATTCTATAGGGCGAAAACGCGAAATGACCTTAACCGGCCACCATAGAGCTTCAATCGATATTATTGCATTTACAATACAAAACGTTTACAAAAAAGTGCGAGTTCTAATGTTAGTGAATTCAAACCTATACCTTCAAATCACTGTCCTATACACACAAAACTGCTCAAACAGAGTTATGAGGAAGAACGACTGCAATCGACACTACATATGTTATGGTCACCGTCACGAATTGGTTATTCGATACGATGTATCGGGGTTTCAACCCAATAACGACATATTTTCGCGGTCTTAGAACTAAAGATTCCAGAATAGTAGTCTTATCTGTAATTTTACCGATATTTGTCATATTCCCGATTGCGATATTGTGACGGAGTGTGTGAATTTGCATGGCAGGAGACGCTTACCCTGTCGTCGCACCCAGATTCGCTCCTTGTGGAGTTCTTGCGAGTTTTTGTTTTTTTTTACCTGGCTTTGTCTCTTTCTATATATTTACAAGATTGTTTAAAAAATAAATGTTAGAAAAATTAAGTGGAATGAGGCCAAAGAAGCTACCTTGAAGTTAAACTTGATAAGTTTTGTTTTTGACATGAGACTCAAAGTTCTGGTACCCATAAATTAAATGAAAGTATAAAAGATGAAAAAGTTTCTGAATTGTCTTCTTTCATATTTAGGTCTGCAACAGGAAGTATAAATAACAGAAAAATATTTTAAGTAAATCAAACTATCAGAAAAAGAGAGAAAAAGAAAATGATGTGGTATGACAATGAATGTGAGAAAAAAGAAAAAAGTTGTGGTATGGCAAATGAATATGAAGCGCAATAAAGACATATAAAACACTTGACAAAAAATTCGAGTAATAATGCTCGGGACAAGAATTTGAAACAAAAGATTGCTTTAAATAAAAAGAAATTTAACAGAAAAAAAAACACAGATTATTTCAAAATAATTTATTGAAAAAAAAACCACATAATTTTGGTCGGTAAGCCAGTTAAAAGATAAATGTGAGAAATGACCTCAGTTGTAATTTTATAAAAATATTTTAAACAATTAATAAATATATCAAATATGAATAAATAAAAAGATTCAGATATGTTCTTATTGGATAACAAAAACCCCATACATTGCCTTATCTATGTAGATGATATCTGAATCTTCCAAATGTATATTGTTTAAATAAATTGTCAAATTATTGTGTAAAATGGATTTTATCAGTAAATATAAACAAATAAAAGATTAACATATTAAAAAAATTCTGGAAGAACAAAAAACCTGTTCTAGAAATTGCTTTTGCATATAAATATTTAGAGTATTGTTTAACCCTTTTGGGAGTTTTACTAAAGCATAATTTTGCATTTTCAAAACACTATATTCGGACAATCTGATGTTAATTTTTATTCTGGTTAAGCCTTTCTTTATTGTACTGATATTATGTGTTTAGATACTCTGTTGAAAGACAATGTCACCATGGAGTCTAGATACGTTTTATTCCAAAGAGCAAAAGTACAAATTGAAATTGCTAAATATATTTTTTGGCATTCTTGGATAATTAAGTACGATTTCATTTTTTGTAGATGCTATTAAACTTTGTGTTGGTTTATGGCATCATGTGTAGTGATTTAAGATAGTTTAAAATAAAAAAATATGCCCACCACGTGTTGATAATAACTCAGACTAATATAAAATTAAGATGAAATATGTTATTTAATAAAGCTGGATTTAATCCTGTATTTGAAAAATCAAAATTCAGTTTTTTTTATATGCAGAGACATTATTTCATAAATTTTGAAAGGAAACTAGAGTGTCTATATGCCATTTTGTTTTTCTTTGTTTACATAGTTGTTTATTGTTAAAGTGATTAAGATTATAACACAATGTTGACTGCTGTATCCCAGTTTTTGACATTTTTACCTATTATGTCTGTTTGTTTTGCTCACACATTGTTGTCAATATAATGGAATTGTAATGTACTATTATATTATTTATTTATGTATTTCTCTGTGCTGAGTGTTCTTGCGTTTGTTTGTACTGTATTCATGTCACGTAGTGTTGTCATTTTAGCGGTATTTTTAACATATCCATATAAGCGGGAGGTTTTGCTAGCCATAAAACAAGGAACAACCCACCATTTTGTCTATGTATGTTGGCGTTTGCTTTTGTTGCAGTTCATTGTTTCTGTTGTTCCGTTGTTTTCCTCTTATAGTTTTCTATACAAGGAAGTCAGGAATATGACAATTGTTTCCATTTGTTTGATATGTTTGAACTTTTGATTTTGCCATTTAGTAAGGGACTTTCCGTTTTGAAGTTCCCTTGGAGTTCGGTATTTTTGTTATTTTACTTTTTTTTTTAAATATCAATGAAAAAAAAAGAAAAAAATTAAGAAATTTGAGATGAAAGACTGTTTGAAATTAGAAAATGCCAAATTCGATATATCAAATGTTGTAAAACTCAAAATAACTAATATTAAGATGTTGATTAAAAACGACAAACATAGCAAAATATATTTAGAAAACCGTTGATGCCCTCTTTGTTATCTGAAGAGGAGGATGAATTACACTTATATATACAATGTACTTAAGAGTTAAAAATAGATTATATCAGACAATTTTAGATATTATACCTTCTTTTTATAATCTTTCAGACCTTGAAAAAGAGAGACAAAAGAAACCAAAGGGACATTCACACTAATAAGTCGAAAATGAAATGACAACGCCATGGCAAAAAAAGAAAAGAAAATGACAAAAAAAACAAACAACAATTTACAAAACACAACTTACAAAACTAAAGACCGAGCAAAACAAACCCCATCAAAACTTGAGTTGTTCTCAAGTGCTCCGGAAGGGTAAGCAGATCCTGCTCCACATGTGACCCGTAGTATTGCTCATGTAAGTACAAACCCGTTGGTAAGTCTAAATCGGTAGGTCACATCCGGGAAAAAGGGGACGGGATTGTGACTACGACGATTGTAACATTTCAACTCGGATTTCTTAGTAATGATTTTGATGCCAGTAAATGTTGAGTAAAAGGCATTAGTAAGATGCAAAAAATAGATATTTATTAACTTATTATCGTTAACTATTATACTGTAATATTATAAAATGATCAGTGATAAAGTGTTGATTTTATATTTTATTTTCTACGTTAAGCCTGTTCCTCCGCAGTTAAATTGTAAGAACAAAATACAGTTTTCTTATTCTTATCAATTTCATTATATTAATCATTAACTATTTCTTTGTAATGTCTTTGATGACAATCCAGATTTTGGATATTGAGTTAAAATAAAATCATCCTCTTTAAGCTAGTAATTAAGGTACAATATTACCGTTTCTTCGTACATATGCAACAACAGAGAATATTCTTTATCTCAGTTTTAAATGTTTTATCGAAAAATGTATAAATGAAAGGGTTAGCAATATAATTCAAAATATAGCCTTGATTTACAAACATTAAAACCAATATTTCCACATCGGTTGCATTCTCCCAGAAAGTGGTTGGAACTATTTCTGCAATTGTAAGTATTATTTTAGGAAGAGAACCAATAAGAAATGTTAATGTGATGATCAGGGATATTTTTGTAACTTTGCTAATTATCCTTTGATTTGTCTTTGATTGTTTCTTTATGACTTTACTGTAATTTCTCAATGAATTGTTTTCCAGATCTACTATAATTTGGTTAGATTGTTGTGTGTTGCTTGGTACAGAAATGCTATAGTCAGGTTTCAGTTCAGTGTCCAGTGTTGAAATTGAATACCCCTGTGTTTGGTTTTCATAATTTTCGTTTTTTGAACGTTTCTGCGATTCGAGGTCACTTTGGACTCCCTTTTTGAGGTGTGTACATGTTTTTCGAGCTATTAAACAGTACGGTACAATTAATAACCCACAGAATAGGATATAAGCAACACCCAACACAACATCATAAATGGCAGACACAGTACCAGTTATTTTTCCGCATATCTTTCCAGTGACGTTTCTGTTTATACTTTGAAGCGGGATAGAGCCATAGGCAACCATGGATGGCCCTGCGAGAACAGCTGATACAAACAAAGCGCATATCATGATTGCTTTTCTCCGTTTTAATGTCATTACAGGACCCTTTCGCCTGCAAACTTTCAAGTAACGTTGAATTGCAATCATTATAAGTAGGCAAGCAGACATACAAATTATCGCGGACCCCAACAGCCCTCCAAATTTACAAAGTAAATCAAATTCATTCGTCAATGGCATTAGAGTCATTGCTAGTCCATTCAGAGAACAAATAATACTTCCTAGTAAATCAGCAACAGCAAGATATGGTAAAAAGTACTGACCGTCTTTTATAGTTTTCTTTTTGAATCCATAGATATATGCAACAAGACCATTCCCTGTAACTCCTGTGATTATAAACAAAATCAGAAGAATATCTAGCGGAATATATAAACGCATGAAGTAGGCATTCCAATAATCTGTGTCGTCCATATTCGTATAAGTCAATGTCATAAGAAAGTAAACAGAATGTACGTTTAGTGTCTATTTTTGTGAAGTTCCTGTATTACCTATACACATATATATACAAAAGGCGAATTGTGTTCTAATAATAAGTCTTTCAAGAAATATATAACAAACCTGATGAATTTAAATTGCTGATATATTTCTATACCCTCCGTGGAGGTTTAAACGGGAAGTAATTAACAAGTTATGTTTGTTTGGGTTGCTAACCCAATTTTGTCAATATAACGGAACTATAGACAACTGTCATACACGGGGGAGATTTAGCTAGCTATTACCATTTTGTTCGGAAAATGCCCTAACAAGTCAGGAATACGACATATTCCATTCGTTCCGTTTGTGGACATAGTCTACCTTTTTCCACCTTTTTAATTTACATAAGAGTTCAGTAATTTTTGTTAATACTTTTATACTGTCCTGCATTCTACGCTCAATATTTTAAGCTCAATATGTTAAGCTTAACAGGCTTTTGAAGAAAACTATTCCGTTATTGTACAGTGACAACTGATGGGTAAATAAAAAAAATAATGTACCGACCTACCTCACGGCTAATTTTGGTCTTATTTTAAAGATAAATATGATGCTTTTCGATAATACCTTAAGTGTTGCACAGGTATGAAAATTGAAGTCAAAGGTTTAAACTATGAATGAAATATTGAGCACATGTGCTAATACGTATATGAATCAATATCCCAAATTAGCAACTTCTTTGTTTGGTGAGTTAGCTGTTCTAGAATCAGTATCGTCATGTGAACAAAACATTTTCATACAAATTCCTGTAAAAAGTCGGAATATAACGGACCTGAAGAGCAAGCTCTCCTTCTTCATCCATACTCCAAAGGTGGTCGTGATGGTGGGTTGGCAATATAAGCATTCATCGAGCAGACCTCTCGAAGAATTTGTTGTCTGAATGAAGTCACAAAAGTATCATTCCTTGAGATAACTCCGATGTCATTCTGGGCATTGAGCTCACCATGTACAGATTTTACTTTGTTTATTAGTCATACAGATCAGCGATGAATTGTCTTCACACTTTAACAGACGTGTCAATATCTGGACCATCTAAATTTGACCAATTTTGATACCTGTATGGGTTTTGTTTGAACGACTTATAAATTTTGGCAATGGAGAAAAAAGAATCCGTGTTGTACCCTGTAATGGCGTTGGGTGTATTTTACTGGCTCCGTAGTATAGCTAAGATAATGAACACGGGCATAAACTGTCTTGTGAGGAAAAAAGCAACCACAATTTTTGACTTATTTAGAATTACTGTACACAAAGTTATAAAGCTTTAGTATCTGATGACGTTATTATAAAACCACAATTGTAATTATAATTACTAACATTGGTTCATTGGAAACTGAGACTGCAGACTAAGTCTTGTGTCTGTCTCTTCCTGTGGACTAGACAACTGAGAACGGTCGATGACAGTCCCGGCACAAATTTAAAGTTGCTTCAGTCTCTTGATTTATCAAACAATCGAGATAAGAATATTTCGTCTCGGTCATGCACTGTGAATTTATTGTAAAGCTCGATTGTATAATCACCTAGAAATTCCAATTTCTTTTCCAGTGAACAGCGAAATTTCGTCCATTGTGGAAATATATTGCCGTGTCGATTAAATAATACTACATTCTGAGCTAATTTTACATTTGTTAAAATAATATGAAAGTACTCCTTGCCATGTCATGGTCAGTTTGTTTTCGACTTATGAGTTTGAATATCCCTTTGGTATCTTTCGCCTCTCTTTTGTATATCTTGGAATTATTTTAGTATAAACATAATAAAATTATAAATCTATACATTTACTTAGTTGGAATGGATGTATAAAAGGGCTAAGAATAAAAATAACTTTTTAAGTCTTTCACAAAATAAATGTTAAACTACTCTTAGAATTCCATAATGAAAAATTATGTAAAATACTTAAGCGTCTTTTGGTTTCTTTGATTGTTGTGTTTCTTTCCCACTGACCAATTATTATACCCGCCACCTCATTGTATTTATATTATTACAGGTATATAATATCACGATTATTATTTTTCAAAATATTTGCAAACTTCTACATTGTTCTAGGAAAGTATAAAAAACTTATGGTGGAACAATCATTAATTTGTGTACGAATATTTAATGTTGCACCAATAGTTGCCATGGGAACAATCAAGATGGAATTTTTTAATTTTGTGAAATTGTATTTTAAACATTTGAAACAAATAAGAATGTTTTGGATCAAAAAAGTTCGTAAACTCCAAAACATATAAATGAACTAACATTAAAAAACATACAAGACAAACAAAGGCCAGTTTTTGACATTTTTACCTATTATGTCTTTTTTTGCTCACACATTGAAGTCAATATAATGGAATTGTAATGTTCTATTATATCATATTATTTATTTGTGTATTTCTCTGTGCTGAGTGTTCTTGCGTTTGTTTGTACTGTATTCCTGTCACGTAGTGTTGTCATTTTAGCGGTATTTTTAACATAGCCATAAAAGCAAGAGGTTTGGCTAGCCACAAAACAAGGTTCAACTCACCATTTTGTCTTAAAATGTCCTGTACCAAGTCAGGAATATGGCAGTTGTTATCAGAGAGTCCGTTTCTATGTATGTTGGCGTTTGCTTAGTTCATTGTTTCTGTTGTTCCGTTATTTCCTCTTATAGTTCATGTGTTTCCCTCGGTGTTAGTTTGTTACCCGGATTTGTGTTTGCTTAATCGATAACCATTTTCTATATACGAAAATGCCTGTACCAAGTCTGGAATATGACAATTGTTTTCCATTAGTTTGATGTGTTTGAGCTTATGATTTTGCCATTTTATAAGGGACTTTCCGTTTTAATGTTCCCTTATAGTTCCGTATTTTTGTTTTACTCTTTTCTAAAAAAATATCAATGAAAAAAAAGAAACAAATTAAGAAATTTGAGATGGAAGACTGTTTGAAAGTAGATAATGCCCAATTCGATATTTCAAATGTTGTAAGACTCAAAATAACTAATATTAAGCTGTTGATTAAAAACGACAAGCATAACAAAAAGTAAAACAACAAAAATACCGATCTCCAAGAAAAAAAAAACTGAACTGGAAGGAATTTCCTCTTTTCATTTAGTGATAAATATATTTAGAAAACCGTTGATGCCCACTTTGCTATCTGAGGAGGAAGATGAATTACACTTGTATATACACTGTACTTAAGAGTTAAGAAATAGATTATATAGATATTATACCTTCTTTTCATAATCTTTCATACCTTGAAAAAGGGAGGCAAAAGATACCAAAGGGACATTCACACTAATAAGTCGAAAATAAATGACAACGCCATGGCAAAAAAAAAAAGAAAAAGACAAAAAGACAAACAACAGTATACAAAACACAACAAAGAAAACTAAAGACTGAGCAAAACAAACCCCACCAAAACTGGAGTTGTTCCCATGTACTCCGGAAGGGTAAGCAGATCCTGCTCCACATGTTACCCGTAGTGTTACTCATGTAAGTACAAACCCGGTGGTAAGTCTAAATCGGTAGGTCACATTCGGGGAAAAGGAGGTCGTTACGACTATTGTAACATTTCAACTTGGATTTCTTAGTAATGATTTTGATGCCAGTAAATATTGAATTAAAGGTATAAGTAAGATGCAAAAATTAGATATCTATTAACATAATTATCGTTAACTATTATACTGTAATATTATAATATGATCAGTGATAAAGTGTTGATTTAATATTTTATTTTCTACGTTAAGCCTGACCTCCGCAGTTAAATTGTAAAAACAAAATACAGTTTTCTTATTCTTATTATTTTCATCATATTAATAATTAATTATTGTTTTGTTATGTCTTTGATGACAATCCAGATTTTGGATATTGTATCAATAAAATCATCCTCTTTCAGCTAGTAATTAAGGTACAATATTACCGTTTCTTCGTGCATATGCAACAACAGAGAATATTCTTTATCTCAGTTTTAAATGTTTTATCGAAAAATGTATAAATGAAAGGGTTAGCAATATAATTCAAAATATAGCCTTGATTTACAAACATTAAAACCAATATTTCCACATCGGTTGCATTCTCCCAGAAAGTGGTTGGAACTATCCCTTGTATTGAAAGTATTATTTTAGGAATTGAACCAATAAGAAATGTTAATGTGATGATCAGGGATATTTTTGTAACTTTGCTAATTATCCTTTGATTTGTCTTTGGTTGTAAAACTTTACTGTAATTTCTCAATGAATTGTTTTCCAGATCTACTAAAATTTTGTTAGATTGTTGAGTGTTACTTGGTACAGAAATGCTAAAGTCAGGTTTCAGTTCAGTGTCCAGTGTTGAAATTGAATACCCCTGTGTTTGGTTTTCATAATTTTCGTTTTTAGAACGTTTCTGCGATTCGAGGTCACTTTGGACTCCCTTTTTGAGGTGTGTACATGTTTTCCGAGCTATTAAACAGTACGGTACAATTAATAACCCACAGAATAGGATATAAGCAACACTCAACACAACATCATAAATGGCAGACACAGTACCAGTTATTTTCCCGCATATCTTTCCAGTGACGTTTCTGTTTATACTTTGAAGCGGGATAGAGCCATAGGCAACCATGGATGGCCCTGCGAGAACAACTGATACAAACAAAGCGCATATCATGATTGCTTTTCTCCATTTTAATGTCATTACAGGACCCTTTCGCCTGCAAACTTTCAAGTACCGTTGAATTGCAATCATTATAAGTAGGCAAACAGACATACAAATTATCGCAGATCCCAACAGCCCTCCAAATTTACAAAGTAAATCAAATTCATTCGTCAATGGCATTAGAGTCATTGCTAGTCCATTCAGAGAACAAATAATACTTCCTAGTAAATCAGCAACAGCTAGAAATGGTAAAAAGTACTGACCGTCTTTTATAGTTTTCCTTTTGAATCCATAGATATATACAACAAGACCATTCCCTGTAACTCCTGTGATTATAAACAAAATCATAAGAATATCTAACGGAATATATAAACGCATGAAGTAGGCATTCCAATAATCTGTGTCGTCCAATTTGGTATTATTCACGTCCATTTTCGTATAAGGTAATGTCATAAGAAAGTAAACAGAATGTGTGTTTAGTGTCTATTTTTGTGAAGTTCCTTTATTACTTATACACATGTATACAAAAGGCGAATTGT